ATGCTGCTACAGCTGAAATATATTTGTTGTCAAAATACCTTTTAGTACATATGTTGTTAAAAYAAAATGAACAGTCCAATGATCATTTTACTGATATGTATAAAGACCGCAAAGGCTGAAAAATCTTGAAGTCTGTATGAAATTGGAGGTAGTTTGAAGATTAAACTTTTTATGCTTTTTAAGCTCAAAAGGGGGAGTGTATTATACATGAGATCGTATTATACACGAATAAATACGGTATATTTTGACTGCAGTCATAGGTAGCCGGTTAGCTTTAGCTCACTTTGCAGTCCCTGTTGGAGAAAATTACAAAATTCTCTTTGACTTTACAAACCTCTTCCRTTTGCTTTTTATGCACAGAGTAGATCCGTGCGACAAAGATATGTCAGAACATATTGCTACAGTTTTGTAAAGAGGAGAAATAAGAATGTTCTCACTTAACGGCTCAGACATCCAAGTTGAGTTGACTTGTGTGGTTTCCTGACGTACTGCTAATTAAAAAGTTGTGAAAACAAAACAACAACTTAAAGGCCTAATGTGAAAYGGGTCATTTAAATGAGTTGTTTTCTCTGCTCTCCCTCCATCTCTTTGCAGTCCAATGTGTAGACTAGCACACATACAGGGATTTTAATGAGTTTATGATTTGTAATTCCTTTAGCTTGTTTTCCTGGTTTTGATGAGTGTAATGAGCAGTGCCTTAAACACCTGCTGAGCTTARCTTTCCTCTTTAGTGATTGCACAAGGATCAGACACACCCCGGGCCTTTGTATTTGTAAGTTACTTTCAACAAATTACACCAACATTTGCTTCTTATGGGGTTTTGCTGAACAGCTGTAAAACATTACCCACCGAGAGCGCCGTTTTAGCTGCACTCACTGGATTTCACCCTGAAAAACCCTCCGTCCCACAATAAGCGCCGGTGATGTGGCCTGCAGTGGGCTGTGGCTTTGGTTTGAGACCAAGGTGAGGGTGTGGAAGGCAGGGTGTTGCGCTAAACGAGACTCTGCTGCAACCCTTCGCCAATGTGGTTCCCATCAGGAGAGACTTGCACTTGTGGCAGAAATTCCTGCCTCGTAGCAAAATGCCTTGTCTGGATTTAATCAGATCAGCTTCTGCCGCAACATGCAAAGAAAAACAAATAAATTWAAAAAAGCAGCACGCTTTAGGTTTGATAATGTCCTGCCTTTGTAGAAGTGTTTTTTTAAATCGTCATGATGGCTTAACTTTGAGCCTTTTACAGTGACAGTTCATATTTTTTGTAGTGGGTTTCTGTAAAACTGTTTTAAGTCAGCAGAATTTTACCCTTAGCTTCACTTGCAGCTGTTAGCTTGTCTGTCGGGTCAGAATTACACTTTCCTTTTTCCAAACTGAGGTTATTCAAAGGGGTAAGRTTGTTCATAACCTTTCCACACAATCCCAGTTCTTATTATTGTTGAATTCTGCACCAGGAGACTTTAATCAACCATTTCCCTAATATTAAATAACACCGACAGTTCTGCCGTGTTTGTAACTCCTGTCTGTGCTGTGGTTTATGTCGACTCCYTCGATCTGCCTCATTTCTTTCTTCTGACACCACAAGCACGCAACAAATTCTTCCAGACACTCTATACCCGATATCTTTTCTCCTGTCGTTGAGATTTGCTTCGTCAACAAAGTGCTGAAGGAGGAGGAGTTGCTAGAGCAAAATTACCCATGTGTCAGACCTAGATTTGATTTGTTTGAGTTTTTTTTTTATTTTTTTTTTTGACTTAGGACCCCATTTTGAGAAAGGACAACTCGATTAGTAGATCCCTAACTAAACAGACAATCTGATGCGGTGTTGTCCACTCTAAAGGGCAAACATGACTCATGGAGGTGCAGGAGCTGATGCTCCCGCTGGGGGACCTGCACTTCCTGTCACATCAGGCTTTACTGAGYGCAGATTTCCTGTTCGCCTGAGAGGGGAAGATTAGACAGATATCAAAGTATTTAGTCCCCACAAAGCAAAGTGTTTATCCCACTGCCTYTCGTTTGCTTTGTCAAACACTGAAGAAATGCAGTTTGTTATGGAATATGATATTTTAATGTAAACTTAGCTTTCCAACTTGTTTGTTTATAAATAAGTTCATTAGGGGCAGCCTTATCTTAAGGATGTGGCTCAATCATCAACGTGGTCATCTAGACCACTATCAAGCTGTTTGTTCCACGGCTCTAAATCCTGATTGGCGACATGATGCTGTGGCTGAGATTACCACAATGTGTCATTCTAAGGTCAKTTCTTTYTAYGTTGTATTGTCGAGTATTTTTAARGCCCCTCRAGATTTYTGTTTTTGAGCATGATGTTGCAGTATGTGCCTGTGTGTTGTAGAAATGAGAAGTCCGTGCAGCTGCTGTTTGGTAGCACTCGGGGGTTGGGTCACCTCTGTCAGCAGAGGAATGCTCCGCTCACTCAGCAGCTTTTACAAACACTCAACAAGCGTCTCGCCTCTCGGAGACAGCAGCATGTGAAACTTGCTGACGTGTTTTTGTGTTTCTCTTCTTRCATAGTTTGGATTTGTTGATATAAAATCGTCAGCATCAATCTTGAGTGCTGAAGTCGTGATGATAGATTGTTAAAAATGTGTTTCTCATTTGTAAAAATTGTGTAGCTTTCACTTGGTTCTATAAAACACAGAAGACTTCATTTCTTTTTGTCTTGTTTTGCTTGCAGAGGAGGTCGACTACAGTAACTTYGGCAACAACACGATAACCCGCAGGAAGAAGGCCGTGGTAACGCTGCGCAACAGCGACGTCAACCGCAAGCGCCCTCACATCCGCATCGGCATGCCGCAGGACTTTCGGCCCGTTTCCTCCATCATCGACGTGGACATCCTGCCCGAATCTCACCGCCGCGTTCGTCTGTATCGCCACGGCTCCGACAAACCCCTGGGCTTCTACATCCGAGACGGAACCAGCGTCCGCGTGACGCCTCACGGTCTGGAAAAGGTCCCAGGCATCTTCATATCTCGGCTGGTGCCTGGAGGGCTGGCGGAGAGCACGGGGCTGCTGGCGGTGAACGACGAGGTGCTGGAGGTGAACGGCATTGAAGTGACGGGGAAGTCGTTGGATCAAGTGACGGACATGATGATCGCCAACAGCCACAACCTGATCGTGACCGTCAAACCAGTGAACCAGCGCAACAACGTGGTCCGCAGCAGCAGGATCTCCGGCAGCTCAGGCCAGTCGTCTGACAGCGGCGGGTCGACCAGTTACCCCAGTCTGTCGATGGCCTTGGCGCGCGAGACGGCCCCTGGAGCGCACGGTTACCACGATGACCTGGAGAGCGACGAGGACGCGGATATCGTCATCGAGAGCCGCCTCAAACGGCCGTCTCAGCGGTCCAACGCGTCCTTGGCGTCCAGCGCGTCTCGCACGCACCAACAGGCTCCGACGACAACGTCAGGTCCGACGACTTCTCCAAGCCCTCCCTCACGTCCATCTTCTGTGATCTCCACCGCCTCCTTCCAGTCACAGACAAGTCTGAACGGAGGATCCCATCACTACCAACAACAACAACAGCAACACCACAGCAGCCTGAGCCTCCAGCTGCACAGAGACCTGAACCTTAAACACAACCAGCACCAACAGTCCAAACACAGCGAGCCGCACACACAGCCTCTGCATCACAGCAGCAACCCAGCCCTCCGGCACAGCAATGGCAGCCTGCACAAAATCCTCAGCTCTCTGAAAACGGACCCACGTCACAGTCTTGCTCTTCCCAAGGGAGGGGTGGAGGAGGATGGCACCGTCATTACGCTATAATAACTACAGATAGAGAAACAAACACGCCAGCTGCTCAGAAACTGAACTGGAACAAGCCAGAGAAATACGAGCAACTACAGAACTTCTGATGATTTTTACATGAATGATAATAGGAAGTTTACAATGATCGTGTGTATATATATATAAATATAAATAGTATCGTATTTTTTTTGTTTTCTTGTCTTGTATGCAAAGATGTGTTCTGTAGAAGCGTCRGAACAAACTGTTTTAGACTAGTTGACTGTAGAATAGAGTTCTGAATGTACCTACAACCATTTCTTTATGACCACTTTTTTAGATCCTTTTTCATCATTATTATTGGGACCAACTTCTGGGCTGCTTCGGGACATCTTGAAAGAGTGAATCTGTTTCTTATCTTCTGGTAAACATAAGTTTTGTTTTATTATGTCTTTTATGCCATGATGATTGTGATCAAATCTTTGTATCTTGTTAAATAAATTATTCTATCTCACATTTTATACAAACTAGAAAAGTGCTTTGAATTGGTGTTTTTAAGCCATCATTACTGTAGAGAATGTGACATCAAGCTAAGGACATGCAGCATGTGGGGGTTTTAAATCGCTTAATAAGCAATAAAGTGTATCAAAGTCTTTCACAGAAGCTTAATTTAGTTATTACAGCGTAATTACAAAAAACTAAAAGAAGGGTGAATCCCTTTCATCAGACATCACTTCATCACGTGGCTTTCAGCAACAGCAAACCTTCAGCAGGAATGCACCTTCATCCTGTGTCGAGGCCCTGCRGCAGCAAACTTCTTTCACCTCTCTGAGAATGAATGTTTGCTTGCTGTGTTTACTCAGGAGGCCAAACTAATTAAACGGCTAATAGATCTTTGACATCAGGCTAATTTGCACCGCCAATCGACACGTTTTGGGCTAAGCGGGAGAACAAACATCCTTAACACTCGCATGTGATCATTGTTTTGGCAGGAAAAAGGGCACACGCGACAGGTTCCCGCATTTAAAAGCAGATTTGGCGCTGATGTGTGTGCGTTAGGAGGTGGGGGTTTCTTTTATTTGTGGATTGTATGCAGATGTATTAGTGTTAACTGATTAAAATCAACAAATAATTAAAGAGTGAACTACAATAAGAAACTAAAAAGAACTTCAAAATCTGTTGGGGGTGGGGGGGGGTATCTGCTCGTGTATCCATGCATTTAATGCTGGATTTATCCAAATAAAATCCTCTCAAGTTGCATTTATTATGTATGTTGAAATGTGATGAAGACCTATCACAGATTATCCTGGATGACAACCCTGCAGGTCGTGTTGATCCTGGCTGCCATCTGCTGGATGATATTTGAATGTCACATTGGAGGAAAATGGAAAACAACAAGCTTAAGGATTCCTGTAATACAAACTTTTTCTGACTCATCACACTTTCAGAGCAGAAGAGGTCACAGAAAGTTCTTATGAGTGCAAAAATCCAGGAAATCGTGACTCTTGATATCAGTCTACAGGGAAGGAAACTATCATTAATATCGGTCCAGTTACTTCAAGAACCAAACAAAGGAACACATTTTAGAATTGCTCTATCCCTTCAACAGAACTTGTTCAATCAATGACAGCACACAAGACCTGTTTTGGCAGGAGCAGCTTGCTTTGATACAACTACACTTTTCAAAATACTCAAAAGGCCCAGGTGAGCTGAAATTCAGCTGGAACTGTAATTATCTTTAATGATTTTATGGCACTGGAAACAGAAAATAAAAGCAGGTAAAGATAATGAATGAATTTATCTTTATAGCATGAATCATAGTATTCAAAATCATAGTGTAGTTATTTGAACATGGTTGTATTCTACATATGTGTGTTTGTACATGTTCTGATTATAAACCAAAATTTGTTTTTATTTTTAAAACTATAAGCGAGTGAAGTGGTTATTWTTCATGAGCTTTGCCAAATGTTCTGAAGCCTCCGAGCTTTTTGACCTTCGCGGTTTGCCGTCCACTGTGAGGCTCACGTGACCAAGTCAGTTGACTAGTCTCGGCATAAACACTAGTGGGTCACAAAAACAAGCGACATGGAGCATCTCCGGGTCGACAGGGTGGGCCTTCTGTCTCCTCTGGAGGAGTCCAGCGCGGAAATAAGCACGGACAGCGGCATAGTGTCCCAGAGCGCGAGCAGTTTGTCCATGGTGAGCGACATCCTGAGCAGCGGGACCGTGTCGCATAGCCCGAGCTTCGGAGCGGCGGCGGCGGCGGCTAACGTCGTCCCACTGAACCCGCGGCTGAACGAGGCGGCTCAGCTTGACACAAGCGAGCAGCGCGACTCGGAGCAGGACGACGACGTTCTGAGACAAACAGCTCTCGATTACTCGTCCTACATCAAAGCGGCAGCTGGAGAAGAGGTTGGTGAAGTTACATAAATGAGCACATCAGCTAAGGTAGCGTTACATGCTAGTTTTGTTTATATTATTGAAGCGGGTGCTTTCAGGTTGTCCTGTAATTTTAACTTCTCTCTTCCAAAGAAAGTGGTTTAAACCATTATAATAACCAACTGGATTACTTAAAACTCTCCAAGTTTCTACCTGAGTGACTGTGTTTTTATTTGTTTAATTGGTTAAGTGGACAGGCATGACACCAGGCAGTCCTCATCGGAAAACAAAGGGCCCTTATGTTTTAAGCCTGTAGTTATGTTTCTCACATAGATTTAAAAGCACAAAGTTTCAACTAAATCTAGTCATGTGTGTTGGTAAAGCTGTCTCATGACTCTGAAGCAAGCTTAAAGTAATCAATCGTTTTAGGCTGAATGTACAGTACATTTCTTTCTTTCTTTTTTTTTTTTTTTTTTTTTTTTTTTTTTTTTTGCAACTCTTTGTCATCCAGGTCCTGTACTTGGAGAAGAGCTTAGAAGAAATGCTGACGAGAGTGGATGAGTTTGTGGGAATGTTGGATATGGTAAGCATTAACAGTTTAAGAAACAACAGAGCATAAGTATAAAGCCTAATTGAACTGGATTTCTTTTTTGCTCCTAGATACGTAATGATACCTCGCAAATAGTAAATGAAAATCTACCAAAAATCCAACAGAAGTCTGAGGAAATGAGACAAATATACAGAAGAATTGATAGATTAGAGGTAAGGGGTTATTTTAAGGATTCTGAATCAAAAGTGATAAAAAATGTGTGTGCAATGTTCTAAATCTCAAATGTTTAGATTGATAGGAAGTGGTTTTTAACATATCCTCCTTAACCATCTTCAGTCTGTGAACAGATTAAACACTGCAACTATTCTACAGGAGAAGTAATGTGTAACCCAGTCATTTCTTAAAATACTTTAGGCCAAACAGCCACCGTCCGGGAAACCAACTTATCAAGACTCCCRTACCCGCAGACACCTTTTTCACGGCTGTCAGCGCCATATTTGTTTATCATGACCTGTGCTCAAAAGGAAAACCCGCTGGTCGCATTCTTTGGCTGAAAACTCGGGCCCAGTGCCCTACCTAACGACATGCTATAACGAGATGTCGGGACCGCGGTCACTTGGAATGACTCCTAGCCTACAAAATGTCTYCTCAAATAGAAAMAAGACGGAAAAACAACATTTCCCCTCAGCAGTTTAAACATTTTTTAACCTGCCYACACTCACCATAGACAGCAATACTGTCCTCTTGGCTACATTAAAACAGAAAGCTGAGCTCCCTGTTTTGACTCGATATGGAATAAAAACGCTCCCATAATCTACCTCGGCTAGTGTCAATTCAGCCTCAGAAAAACCAGACCAGCGACTAACAATTTACAATTTCAATGTGTGTGGGCCGAAAAATTAGCCGTAGCTCTTTAGCATAAGGCRGTAATGAAAATATTAGCTCACCGTGCTTCTGTCGACAGACAGGTTCTTTTTCAGCTTCAGTCCCAAAGACTACCCACAGCGGTCGAGGTATGACAGATCACAAAACCCGGACACGATCAGCAGACAAAAAACAGGTCAGCTTCTCCAGCCTCCATGTTCCGGTGGATCTCAAGAGAAATAATCGACCGCTGCGGGCCGTCCTCCGGTCCTTGAAGCCGCCATTTTGACAACGCCAATTTCTGTCATCGCATGAAAGCAGAAACACGTTGGAATAATGCTAGAAAAGTCTGCGTGTATGGTCGTAAATAATGATATAATTCTGAGCGACAAACAGACAGGACTCAATCAGGAAGCCCTGTTGGCCTGTCACTGACACGTCAGCGGACACAGCCGATAACATACACCATGATAACATCATATGACGTGCTTATAACCAATCACAGATCGCCCAATGTACTCTCCAGCCTATCACAGGGCTCCCAGCTCAAAGAGTGTCTTATCAAACAAGAGAGGTCAGTCCGTTGCGGAGTCCTGATGTCTGGACAAACAGATTAACATTGAACATGTGAAACAGATAGATAATTAGTCCATAACAGGCCATTTACTCCTTTTTATGTTTTCATCCTGTCCACCATTCTCAGACTAATAAGTGTGAAATCTCGCTGGGTAAATGGCCTAAAGTATTTTAAGAAATGACTGGGTTACAAATGTGTTTCTGCTTTTCTGGCTGGCAGCAGACTTTTGCTACTTTCTTCACACAACAGTGACAAAAACCAGACGTTACTGCATGTAACTCCAGTATTAAGTTACGAGTTCATAAATGTTGATCAGTAACTTGCGATAACAGTTGAACCGACAGTCGTAGCATACAGATGAGCACAGCTTTAAAAATGAGAAAGTAACAAATAAATAGTGTTAACGAGCAACCATGACCACTGGGAGTGGGCACAGCTTCCCCTGTGACCCTACAGAAAGCAAGAACTAAAGAGTTCCATAAGTTTGACTAAAACAGTGTCTTGTAACAGTGGTTGTTTGCATTGCAGRTATGTTTATCTAMATTTGTTTGTGAATGCATGTCAGCYAARTGTGCYAAAATCCCTACATCAAGTTGACWTTTGGGCATAAATGACATTAGATTATGTGAAAGGTCTCTAAAACTCAGATCTGAGAAACGTATTTGATCATGTTGTATTCTGAGCAAAGCTAAAAAAAGAATTGACTACTTTAAAACAAAATTTCTGCTCACAACTGATTTTTGTACCTCTCTTTTGCCTGCAGRCCTTTGTAAAGATGGTGGGGGCCAATGTCAGTGCAATGGAGGAGCAGGTCAAGCAGGCAGAGGGAGAACTGGGAACACTACCGAGTGCTTTTAAGAAGATCCTCCGCACAGTGACTGTCCCAGGCTTCCTAAGCGTAAGAATTATTTAATGCTTTGTTAGTTTGTAGCTTTATATTGTCTGAGATTCAGGATTTGATGCTAATTAGGTTTRAAACATGTCTGTTTACTCCCAGAAGCAGGCCAGCCCACGGAGATCAGCGCCACATCAGCGCCAGGAGATGCCCAGCGTGTTCCGGACAGACGATTATTTCACGTCGCAGCCGGAGCAGTGACGGGACGTTGAAAACGTAGCTCGGTTTTAACCTCAAGAGGCCTGTTTGGTGAAACTGTGCAGACGTTTACTGCCATCCTACTGAAGAGGATCTAACGGTGCAACAGACTCAAAACGAAGCAATAGGAGCTCTCTGATCAACTCGCTGAACGTTGCGTGAGGGCGTACGACACTTTTGGCCGTGTCATTTTTCCAGGCACTGAAGCACTGAATTGTAGCGACATGATTTTTTAAAGTGCCTAAAAGGGTCTTATGTCTTTCAGATTTGCTTTGTGGAGAAAAATGGGTCAGATGTTTTAATCAGCTGGACAGAGTCATCCTGCTTGGTAATAGGACTTTAAAGATGGTACATCAGAAGATGCTGTTAAGATATTTAGATACGCTTGAAAAATTAACCCCCTTTTTTTTATAAATCACATTCTTGTCACTGATGTTTGTAAAGAACTGCACGCTGCTCTGGGCTGATCTGTATTTCTGTATGTCTTTGAGCAATATTGATGTTACTTAATTAAGCATTTACTGTCTTCCATTTAAAAATATTCACTTTTTATCAAGCCTTATATCTCTGACTGTTGATGACTATTAATTTGCAATTTTCTGCATTACTGATGGCAGCTTTAAAAGAAAAAAAAAAGCACAGGCACAATGATTAGATTTTTTGTTGGTTTTTTTTAGTTTTGCAAGCCACACAAATAACTGGTTGTTTAGCACCACGGATGAATATTTGATTTACAGCTGAAGAAATGTTGGATCCTAACTCAAAATGTCAGCAAGGCAGCAAAATTCACTGCTGTGATCTAGTTATTGCATTAACGTGTTGATTTTGGTTTACATTTTTAAAATAATTATTAAATATATTTAAGACAATTAAGTTTATATTTGGTTATGTTATTTAACATTGTAAGTCAAACTTAAAATGTTTTATTTTGTGTTGTAAGTATGGATCTAGAGAATGGAGAGGACGATTTTTTCATTGTTTTAATTTCATTGTTGTTTGCCTGCCTGATTTTCTACATAAAAGGTTTTTGTTTATTAATAAATGTGCTTGGACATGGCAGAATGAAACTGGAGCTCTAAACCAGATTATTTTACTGTTGAGAGATCAAAAATTGTGGATATCTCAAGTGTAGAAAGAGATAAACTTTAGAAAAAAAACAATACATAATCCAATCTAGTAATTAAATTAAATGCATTTGATGTATTTGCCTGGTTCTTGTAGNAAAAAAAAAAAACTTTGTTCTAGTTATTGCATTAACGTGTTGATTTTGGTTTACATTTTTAAAATAATTATTAAAATATATTTAAGACAATTAAGTTTATATTTGGTATGTTATTTAACATTTTTAAGTCAAACTTAAAATGATTTATTTTGTGTTGTAAGTATGGATCTAGAGAATGGAGAGGACGATTTTTTCATTGTTTTAATTTCATTGTTGTTTGCCTGCCTGATTTTCTACATAAAAGGTTTTTGTTTATTAATAAATGTGCTTGGACATGGCAGAATGAAACTGGAGCTCTAAACCAGATTATTTTACTGTTGAGAGATCAAAAATTGTGGATATCTCAAGTGTAGAAAGAGATAAACTTTAGAAAAAATAGATAATCCTGTCTAGGAATTAAATTAAATGCATTTGATGTATTTGCCTGGTTCTTGTAGWCGTAAACATAAAAAGCTGAAAAGTRTTGYCGGACTAGCTGGGTCCGCACCATTTATCCGCCCGCGGCGCGCCGAGAAGGCGGGGTGGAKCTTAACCTAAACGTAAAACCAACTCGTGCGACAGAGTCACAAAAGGAACGGACCCACCGAAGCGGGGCAAATGATTGGTTAACTTGCCGTGATGTCATAAATTTGTCACCACTTAGAGGAAGCAGCGGGAACTCAGCCTCGATTTTGTTGACTCGCTTTTGGATAAAATAAGCTAAACTAACGAACACGGTAAAGTACTTTTTGTCTTAGGTGCTTCTCGAAAGCTTTACTTTCCTCCAGAGGTGAGCGTTATGAAGAAATCTTTGGCGAAAATGGTGAAAAAACTTCTGGAAAAAAAAAAGCTTGACCGTACTTCACTCGTCTCGTGCTGTTGGCTAATGATCCATCGTGTTTTTTAAACTGCAGGAAAAGTTATAAAAAAAGTTTTTAAGAGAAGTTTTGACTTGAAGCACCGTTAAACTTCATTTGTATCTTTTTTTTAACACTGTGACTGATATGTATGATTTGACCGATTTGCATGTAGTCTTCTGCGCATGCGTAGTTCAAATAAACATTTTAAACATGAAAGCATTTACAGGTTGTTTACAAATGGTGCTTTATATGCTCATAATGTTCATTGCAGAAAAGTAAACTGACTATAAAACATCAGTTTTTGTTCAAATGGACATCTTATAATTTCAAGCTGCTGCAGTTATCTTATTCATTCATTCATGTATTCAACACACGACTTTTATACGACTTTAAGTTTGACTTGCAGATGTTTTTTTATTCTTGACATACGTTTCTCTTTCCGATCCTAAGTTTCAGACATGACTTGCAACAAAGAGATATGGCAGAAGATTGGAGAAGGCTTTGTCCATGAATATTATAATCAKTTTGACAACAGCAACAGGATGGGACTTGCTAACCTATATGTAAGTTTTTTTAATACAACACCAATAAACAAYAAATCTCATCCGACACTGATGCAATACAGTGACGTGTGGTAAATTTGTTTCTCCAGTCTCCTAATGCCTGTTTGACCTGGGAAGGCTCACCGTTTCAGGGGAGAGAAGCCATTGGTAACAAGCTAGTAGTAAGTATGTTTTTACAAATAGTTTTTGATCGTCACCTACTTGTTTGCTTGCAACCTGAAGTTTATATTTTCAATTTATTTTTGCTCTTTGGGTCAGTGTTATTATGCACTTATTAAGTTTCCTATTTTGTAAAGAACATTTTCACTTTTTTCTTTTGTCTGCATCAGTAACAAATAATTCCGTTTTTTCATTTAATATRCCATATATGCATCCTTTCTCATCTACAGAGCCTGCCATTCAAGCGCATTAAGCACATCATCACAGAGCAAGACTTCCAACCAACTATGGATTCTTGCATCCTTATCATGGTCTTTGGACAGCTGCAGGTAACTCTGTCTTTTTTATTATTTTATTTATTTTGATTTTTTTATTTATAGTTGACAAGTTTGTGTTGTTATCTTGGATTACATAAAATTTTATGCACTCAGCGTATCCAACACACAACTACATACAGTATCTCCCACTGACCCCTTCTTATTTTGTCCTAAAGCACTTGTGTTTTTGAAGAAATACTATGTAGACGCATAACAGATCAATGTGGTTAGCTGTTTTATTTAAAAATATTGTTTCCTCCTACTACAGGCAGATGAGGATCCACCAATGGCCTTCCATCAAGTCTTTATGCTGAAGTCTGAAAACTCGACATGGGCATGCACAAATGATGTGTTTCGGTTGGGGGTACACAACATCCCAGTGTAATGGCAGGATTTTGTCAGCTTGCATGAATTCCATTGCTTGAGATAATTTTGTTTTTGTTGAGCTTGTTGAAACAGAAAAATGTCTCTACTGTTCATGTTTAAACTACAATGATATAATTTACTGTTAAAACGTCACATGTARTAACATGTAAAATTAAAGAATTTATTACTCTGAACTATAGTTTTGGTTTTCTATCTTCTTACTAAGAGTTGTTTTACTAAATAATTCAATATTTAACAGTAAAAAAGCCATACGCTGCTCCTTCACAAAAGGAGTTAGTTTAGGTGGTTCAGGCATCTGAATAGGATGCCTCCTTTTGGAGATTTCCTGGGGATATCCCACTGGAAAGAGACCCATAAATCACTGGAGATTCTCTCGGGCCTGGTAGCATCTTGGGATCCCACAGGAGGAGCTGTAGAGAAGGGTGTCTGGCTTTCTCTCCTGGACCTGTTGCCACGACCCAACCATGGATAAGCAGTAGAAGATGGATAGATGAATGAATACAGTTTTACAAAACTGTAAAATATAAATATTTAGGCAAATGAAATTAACAGACACGTGTCAAATTTTCTAGGTCTTAGTTTTTTGTTTTTTTTTTTTTCAACTATAAACCAAATAGTTTTGTCGACATGTTATGCCATGTGTGACCACAAGGGGGCGCTGTGGTTTTTACATTTGTCAGTTTAAGCCACGCCTACATTTAAAGGGTCATGACGTAYAGCTAGCAAGAGGAGGCTAACTTCATTCTTCAAAATGACACCGACGGCGAAAAGGTCACCCTCTCRGGAAAATGGTCGGCTAAATGTAAGCTGGAAGTTTTATGATTTATACASAATAACGAACAATTTGATWGAAGTGTTAAACTCGTAACCTAATMTTTGTGTAACKCACACTAAATTCCGGGCTGTAGAGATGACGTAATTAATACGACAAATTGGGCTCACCTTGTAAAATTAAAGTGTTAAATATGCAGATTAATTTGAACAAGTAAGATTTGTGCCTTTTGCCTGCTCGTGCCTTTTGTTTTTGACTCAGTCACTGCGCAGTGCGCAAGCGCAGCTGTGCGCACCGTTGTGTAGAGCACGTGCCAAGAACCTCACAACAAAGCAGAAATTAAAAAGAAACTTAACCGGTTTCTTTGCAGAATGGCTTTAAARAACATCATGCCGAGTGTCAAAGTGGTTCCGAGACCGAGGACGAACCTTTGCTCCGGGAGAACCCCAGGAGGTTTGTCATCTTTCCCATCCAGTATCCGGACATCTGGAAGATGTACAAGCAGGCACAGGCCTCTTTCTGGACAGTAGAGGAGGTGAGTTTTATAACTTACATGTTTCATACATTTTAAAAAAGTTGAAACCATAGTTATTGGATTTTGTTGCCTAAATTGCAGTTGTAAAAGTGTAAAATAGATGTTTCAACATTACCAAATGCATTCTCAAAGGCATATTTTTATGTCACATCATGTCTGAGTTTATTGCATTGTTTATTTTGTCTTTCAGGTTGATCTTTCCAAAGATTTGGTGCACTGGGATTGCTTGAAACCTGGTGAAAAGCACTTTATTTCCCACGTCTTAGCCTTCTTTGCTGCCAGTGATGGTATTGTCAATGAAAACCTGGTAAGAGCAAGCACTGAAATGTTTACCTGCAGATTCTTAAAACAGGGAAAGATGTGATATTTCGAGTTAGGATGTGCATCGRTTTGAAATCTTTTCAACTGTATTTCAAGAACCTACCAAAACATACTTTGTTTTGCAGTCGCCCCACTGGTTATCTTATTGTATGAGTGGCAGCCTGACAAAAATATGGTTATCTCGATGTGGTTCAACTGTTGTTTTTCTCTTCGCAACAGGTGCAAAGGTTCAGCCAGGAAGTTCAGCTCCCTGAGGCGCGTTCATTTTACAGCTTCCAGATCCTCATAGAGACTGTTCACTCAGAGATGTACAGTATGCTCATCAACACTTATGTCCGAGACCTGAAGGAGAGGTCAGTTAACTTGTGATGGCTCTGGTGAACCTGCAGGACTTTTGTGTTTCTTTTTGTTTGTTTTTTTTTTTGTTTTGTTTTGTTTTTTTGTACTTGTACAGTCTGAGGGACTATTAGCTAAATTTATATAAAGTATACACAGACTGTTAAGCATTCACTCATTCATAGGTTGCATTCCCAGCTGCAGCAGGTATAATGATGCCACAAGCTATATAAACATAAACAATAATATAAACATTATTCTGCATGCTTGCACCTTGTTGTATTGATTTCACTCCGCACATCTATGTTCCAGTCTGTTTTCAGTAACACAGGAATCAGCAGTCAACTTATTTTACAGTGTCCTTTGATGTTAAATGCTTTGTCATTAATTAGTTTTTGTGTTGTAGGGACTATTTGTTTAACGCCATTCAGACTATGCCCTGTGTCCAACACAAAGCAAACTGGGCCCTCCAGTGGATAAATGACAACAAATCCACCTTTGGTAAAAACACACGTTTGAAACTTCAAACTGAAAACTACAAACAACATTGGCTTAATGGAACTCCCTTTTAAGGTGAATGAACCATAACATGGACATTTCTCTCAGGGGAGCGACTTGTGGCTTTTGCAGCCGTGGAGGGCATCTTCTTCTCAGGCTCCTTTGCTGCCATCTATTGGCTAAAGAAGAGAGGCCTCATGCCTGGCCTGACCTACTCCAATGAACTGATCAGCAGGGATGAGGTGAAATAAATTAACACACAGCATGTGGACTAATCTGTTGAAAGGTCCKCYTGRATCTAAATGCAGCTGGTAATAWATACTCAATGGGCCTCATGCAAGAACCGTTCGTACGCACAGATTTGTTCTTAAGTTGTGCGTACGAGTGATTTAGGAGAATTTGTGGCATTCACCAATGTTTTCGTATTCTAAGATTTTTTCAGATACGAACAAAATTTACGAGTGGTCCAGACCTGTCGTACGGTGCGCGACGGTGTGTCTTCTGAATGAATGAAAATGATTTAACACAGTTATTTATACTTTTAGCAGCTCTTTTTATTCCACAGCTGACCTGCTAAAAATGACAGATTTTCTTTTCTGGATCTCTGACAGACGGACTTCAGTCTCTGAACTCGTAAAGTACTTTTTAGTTTTCGCTGTCATTTTAGTGAATGAACACTTCCTTGTATCTGAGGCAGGAAACATAGCCTTATATGGTGTTTTTGGGGTGGTAATTATGCTAATCTCCTCTCGCGTGCACAAGCAGCTGATACGAACAGGTGGAAATTACGCAGCTCATTTACACACTTTTCCTGAAGATAGAAGAGTTTGTTGAATCTGACGTGGCATGTTCTTGCATGAGGCCCATCGTCCTGTTATAGGAAATGGGACACAATATTTATTTTTGTTATGGTGCAGGTGTTGACAAAGTAGTGCTTTCCACATTTTGTCCCATTTATTGTGTTTTTCTGTTTTTACGTCAGCAGTCTTGATATGCGTTCTACTTTCKTTCCCAGGGTTTGCACTGTAACTTTGCCTGCCTGCTGTACAGCTACCTGGTGAAAAAGCCATCWGAGGAAAGAGTCAAAGATATTATCAGCAAAGCTGTTCACATTGAACAGGTCAGATTATTTTTTTGGAGGGAACCTAAAAATCCCATCTGGAATTATTGCAACACATGACATGATTTTATTCTTTGTTTCATGCTGCATTTGCTATCAGTTGCATAATTTCAGTGTTTTTCCACCCTCCTTAAAAGAACTGAATCTTAATGCATTTGTGTAAATAAATCTGTCTTCTCTCCTGTTGCAGGAGTTTTTGACGGAGGCTCTTCCGGTTGATCTAATTGGAATCAACAGTTCCCTCATGAAGCAGTACATAGAATTTGTAGCTGACCGTCTCCTCACTGATCTTGGACTTGTCAAGGTAATTCCATTTAATTAATCACACAATAGGTTTGAACTAAAATAAACACCATCATTGCTCGTTAAGCTTAGTATTATGATAATTATATTTTCAACACGATAACACAGGTCTAAGAATAGTTAGATGTTTTACGCATCACTTGACTAAAAAAAGTTCAACTACATTTTAATAAAATATGTTTATTTGTATGTTAGGAAAATGTGTGAATGTGTATTTAGTGTTAATCTATTTTTTTTTCCTTTTTATAAAGGTTTACAATGTGGAAAATCCCTTTGACTTCATGGAATCCATTTCTCTGGAGGGAAAAACAAACTTCTTTGAGAAAAGAGTAGCCGAGTATCAGAGATTTGGAGTGATGTCAAACATGATGGACTGTGAATTCACTCTGGACGCAGACTTCTGAAACTGAGATGATGCTGTTTTATACGAGGTTGTGGTATAAAGTAGTAATATTCTAATAAATTTTAAGGTTTTACATATCATGACAATAAAAAAAAGATTAGGTTTTAAATGAGATGAATGCAATCTCAGACGTGGAACACAAGACAAATTGCACCTTGTTGTTGGTTATTTTATAAAAGTCAAAAGTAGAAGTTATCTGGTAAACTAGTCACAAAATTATTTTGACACTTTTCCTTTTATTTTCATCTAGAAAAATGCAGATGTGAAACGTGAGCAATGATTTACGCATAAACATAAAACATAAATGAAAAGACAAGGTTTTCAATCGACAGCAATTATTTTAGTTCATGTAAAACTTTAAAATTTTTAAGTGTTTTTCTCCATGACTGTTTGTTACATTTCGTCTATTTATTTGTTTTTGCAAAGGCCGATACAGACACTGTCTTGTCTTGCAATGCTATATTTGTATCTTAAAATAAAATCAAGCAGTATGCATATTTTGTTGCATATTATTTGTTGTGAGTGAGGTAAACTCAATTTATTAAGTTTATAAATGCAGTCAGTGAAACAAAGTGATGAGTCAGATTGTTTTTGTTTTCTTAACAAAACGTAAAAAKGTACATCAGGATCATTTTATGGTAAGTTTGAAAATTAAAACATAATTTTGCTGTTCTGGGTGCTGGCTTTTATATTGCCTAGTCAAATTATTTTTATTTGAAGCCGGGAGTCAACTATAATTTAATATTTCTCTGGTGCAGCTTGAGTGAAACAATTATTTTTATTATTTTTAATAAAGGCAAAGCGTACCATTAATGAGAGGGTTCCAGAAGTCTGATTAGCCGACCCTTCTCGGCCACCGTACTGGTTCTTGTAATGTAAGCTAACAGCTAATGTTTACGTACTTTGTCAACATGGCTGGGGACTTGCAGAGTTTAGCGCTGGAGAAAGCCGAGCTGCTCTCCATCCGTTTGAAGGAACTCGTGTATTCGGGACAGGGCTTTGTCCAGGCCCRGTTCGGCGTGGACCTGGGTCTGAAGCCCGAGCTTTACCCGACCTGGGTCATTCTGTCCACGGCTGCCGTCGGTCTCCTGCTGCTGCTCGTCGTTTCCTGGGCCGCTGTCTGCGTCTGCGGGAAGAAACGGGGGTCCCCGACCCCGGCCGACCGACKCAGCGGCGAGGGGGAGCCTGGCAAGGCCGACCTTATCAGAAGTGTCAAACCGGAGGAGAACAAGAAGAGGAGCAGGAAAAAAGCGTCCGAAAAGGTAACGAGAGGTCACCAAATCACGACGATCAAAATAAAAGCTTTTCTTTGGTGTAACTCAGCGAKTCAGCTTCTTAAAGGCATAAATTCAATCCACAAAAAACCATTTAGCTTGACGCACGCGTGCTATGACGACACTTTGTTTACACAACAAAGATTAAGACTTTAAAGAATTGTCCCTAAAAGTAAACAAATTCAACCTCCTAAACAAAATATAACATGARTCGATGTAAATGTAGCCCAAGATGCTAACTGGCTGAATGTGTGGCTAACCATTGTTCAGTTACAGCTTCATTTAAAATGCACTGTCCCGTATATTGTTGTCAGTCTTTTTGTTTATATAATAAAACAATTCACATAAATTTGTGTATATTACTAAAGGTAATTAATTTTATAGTTTTTTTGTCTACAAACATGAAAAAAGTTATATGCTGGTTTGAAAGTCAAAACAAAGATAAATACAAAATTAACAAATTAAGATTGAGGAACAAAGCTTTTTCTAATTGCGTCGTCAATGAGTGTGTTTTAGTGTTCTTATTTTTCCAGACTTTATTAAATGATTATTTTAAGTGCAAACTGTATTAAAAGGATGTAGTTTTCTGTGTTTATGACAGTCATCTGCTATTATATTATGTCTGAAATGGACACGTTGGCAAAAAAAAGTACCTAATATTTCAGTTTTGTTTTATCATTCTTTATGATAGAAGACTCAGTCCAATGGGCAGCCTGGGGTCGTGGCTCAAGAGGAATTCAAACYGACGGTGGCGGCTTCCAAAATATCCCTACAGATTAAATCTGGGAAGGTACGGGCAGATTTAGAGATCTGAAACTTTTATTGTTGGCAAGAGTAGACACAAAGATGAACACATTTTGTTTCAGTTTTAYAAAACAGTTTTGTTTCTTTTAGATTTTCTACGTCATGGCATAAATATACGACAAAAGAAAACTGGATTTTAAATACATATTTTTATTTTATTTATCTTTTTTCAACAGTTACATGAGGTACAGGCCCCAGTTCAGGTGAAAAAGAACAAGAAGAAAACCAAACCAGACGTGAAACCAGTTCAACAGTCGTCCACAAATGATGGCAGGGAGCCCGATGATGGTAAAACTTGGCAGAAAAATTCACAAGAGCTTCTCGTTTTCAAACCACTATCGCCTCAAAGATCTCATATWAAGTCTTGCACATGAGTGTTTGGCATGTGTGTTCGTGTTCACCAGGTGTGTGGGAAACCAAAGTCAGCAACCGAGAAAAGAGGCAACAGCGCAGGAAGGAAAAAAGCTCTGAGGATTCAGGAAGCTCAGGAGGTGCAGAAGCTCCAAAAGCCAACGTGGAGCCACCTGTCGCCCTCAAGAGGAACAAAGGAAACCATGGTGGTTATAAACTACATCGCTGTGTTTGTTAAATGTGATAGAGTAGTTTAATTTAGGCAGCCTAAGCCAAGCATAAAATTAGTAACATACATATTAACATCTATGAACACAGTGGTTAAAACTTTTTCCTGTATTTGTTCCAGAGAGCCAACGATCCAGAGCGACCAAGAAAGGCGATGCAGCCGGTGGAGCTGGTAAAAACAATGCAGGTACATTTTACACGTGTAACAAACAAYATTCACTGCAGCTGTAAGGTTATTTTGAGCTTTAAACGTACCCAGTATTCCATTAATGTGTGCTAAATTTAAACGTTAGTGGTTACTAAAGCTTTAATTTCAGCTTCCTCCACATGGAGAGGCGAGGCTCCAGTCAGTGACGGCAGCTGGACTGATGTTTCCTTGAAAGTCGCAGCTCAGATGGGTTCTATGGAGGGAACAAAGTGGACCCGCACACCTGCAGCTGCACATTACAGAGCTCAGACCAAACCTCAGCCCTGGGCTCAGGAGCAGCCAGGTACTCTCTTAATAGATCTTTGGCTAAAYGCAGCAAAACTGTCCAGTTTCCTAAAAATAAACACAAAATGCACTCATTTATTTTAAAGCATGTAAAGCCTGGATTTAATTAAAACAAAGCAAAGACAAAGCTGGTTTGCTAAAACAGAATTCCCCTGATATGTTTCTTTCCATGTGTTTCCCCCAGCAGCAGCAGCAGCAGCAGCRTGGAGCAGCATCGAAGCCGACGCTCAGAAAACAACCGTGTCCTTTTCCGTGCTGGGAAGAAACACCACAGGTTGGTTTTATTAGCAGCCGCAAACGTCGCCGACTTCCTGGATGKGTTATTTTAAAAACATCTTTTGATTTATCTTTCTTAGACTCGGTATCAAATTCAGCTGAGCTGCCKTGGACGAACCGCCCAGATGTTGATGATGAATGGTCAGGATTCAGTAAGTAGTCATCATCACTGTCTCACTGGTGACAGCTGCTTGATGAGGTAATCTGCTGAGGTGTTTTTTTTTTCTCTTTTGCCCTCATCTGTGTGATTTATTTATTTATTTATTTATTTATTGTTTTAGATGGGGTGGCAGCAGCAGATCCCTCCTCTGATTGGAACGCTCCAGTAGAGCACTGGGGAAACTACGAGGAAGCACCTGTGCTGATGGCTGCAGCTTCTCTGCTGAAGGACCAGRCTGCCCTCATTAAGGTTTAACGCTTAGCATTAGCATGTAAAGCTAATGCTCTGTTAAGGCTTTATTATCCTGATAATTTGCTTTTGTGTTTTTTTATTCTCTTGAACATTTCCTGCCATGAAAGTGCCAGAATATAATCAACTAAAATGCCTTGTTTTTATTTTATTTTCATGTCAGTTATCGGATGATGAGAAAGACACAGAGGATCCCTCAGGAGGGGCAGCTAAATTGAAAAAGAGGAGGAAAAAAAAGAAGAAATCCGAAGAGGAGCCTGCATTGGATTCTCAGGCAAGAAACAACACCTCATAAATATTTTCAAATCGCGTTAACTTAGTTATTTAACCTGAAACCTTTTATTTTTAAATATATTACATTTGTTGGACTGCAGGCCCAGAACCAAGCTCCCACAGTCAGTGCGGTAACCAAAACTCAAGAGCTCCCGGCGTGGCCCTCARATTTAAAAAGTACCAACATGTCGCCGTCTCAGAGTGAGTCTCATCAKCTTGTGTTGATCACACCGAGACGCTCGAGGTCTAAAGTCAAAGCAGAAGATAATATCAATTTTTTTTTTTCCAGAGAAGACGGCGGAGCCTCTGAAACCCTCTCAGAAGAAAAAGGTTAGAAGGGAAACTTGAATTGACCTTCCAAGTTCACACAAAGCTTATGCAAACGATTGTTTTCAAATTATCACGAGCAATAATCGACCAGGTACGGCATCCAGTTTCCTCAGTTCCAGCGACGAACAGAAAGCAAGCAGCAGACGTGAGCTGCTGAGATGAATACTGACAGAAATGTGGTCCTATGGACTGAAAATAGGACAGATTTTGCACTATTTGCTACCGAAGTGGAGTTTTTAAACGAGGTATAAGTTTAATAGTTACAAAAACTTTTTTTTTTTTATTTAAAGCATTTTTGTAACTATTAACCCAAAATTATAAAACGGGTTTTATTTGTATTTTTTCCCTTTTTTTAATTTATTTTGTTGTAGAAATTGTTTCATGTTTTTAACCCTCAGCTGATGCATTTTGCTTTGTTTGCCGTCCTGCCACCTCGTTCATGATGCGCCAAAATGCTCTGAAGGTGAAAGGGTAGATTTGGGTTGAGATTTATCAAAAAAAAAACTCGTGCTATGTTCACCTACAGATGCCAAAATATTTTTTTTCCTGTAATAAATATGAAGTGACACTTCTCATGGAGCAGCTATATACCATGAAGGACTCTACGGTTTTTGCTGAGACTGATGAAACTTATTAATCCCAACGTAGATTAAATTTAAACTAATATATGAGCATTGTTTGAAGTAATGTCTTGTTGGTATGATATTTGTTTTTGAAGGAATCTGTGCACAAATCTTTATTTCTGGGAGAAGCGCCCATAAAACCTCATATGAACACCAGATTTAAGAAACACACTATTCGTTATTTTAGCCCCAAGATCTTTTATTTTGACATCTGTGAGTAAAAACAAAAAGCATAATAGCACTCTGTCAACATCTAACAAATGTATTCTATTATATAACACTCTGTGGAATCAAAACAGCCAAATTGCTTTTTATTTTCAGAAGGATTGACAGCTTTGGTTTGAGTCTAAATAAACTTTAGATGTAGGTTAATCTGTCCGTTCGATATTGAGCAGTTTATTTTAATTTTAAAGTTGTTTTGGGATAAAACGAATCTTGTATATTTATATACYTTAAGACCGCAGTAACTGATATCAACCACCAGGTGGCACTTTAATCTGAAATTTAGATTTTTATGGGATGACATGATCAAACAGTAATTTTAATTGGTGTCCTGTTTTTAATCATTTTTACTATAGCTATATTTATGGATTCTAATCAGCTTGTTTGTTAATTTTTAATGATTTATTCTGCACTCCAGCTTTTATTGTTTTTTCAGTTCCATGCTAGAAAAAGCCATGCCGTATGTACAGATTGTAAGGGCTTTTTCCAGTTTTGTAACTGCACTGTGCAAAAAAAAAAAAGAAAAACTGTACAGAGTTCAGTTTTATTGTGAATGAAATGTTTTTTTTTATTACCTTTCATGAGGGATATGAAACCTGATTTTTATTAAAGTTTATTCCTGACTTTATGGTGAGGCTGTTAAATAAGATTTATAATTCTGAATTCAACTTGATTTTAAAAATATAATTACACACATTTAATATATGCGTTTGAAAGGAGTTTAATTCCTTTGCCTTAAATAGAATAGAAAGTTCATCCAGTTTTGATGTCAGAATTGAATTAATTTTGCATGACTTTGTTAATAACAAGTCTGTACGTAAAAGAAGACCAGTCTTACTGCTTTACCTGTTCTTGGTTTTAGAGAACCACAATATTGTAACAGCTTTGTCAGGTGACGCTCTTCTCACGGGGCAAAGAGTCTTACGGTGTCAAATCAACTGGTGGTGATAATTGTGATAGATTTGTTTGTTTTTTTAAGCGATGTTTCACTATGGCTCCAGGTGCCCTTTTGTTCACTTTGTACTGATGAAAACAATGATTTAATGTATTTATAGACTTGTCTCTAATGGGTTTTTGTGAATGATTTTAATCAGAGACGTGAAACTGATATTTCTATGTTTGTTTGACATAGAATTAAAGGGYAAATGCTTGATTTTTGCTTTGTTCTGGAGTTTTATTTCTAGAAAATGAAGTAAAAATTGATTTTTATAAGATGTTTGAAGGTTTTTAAGCAGATTTTTCTCTCTTCCCACGGGTCTTCCAGTTCGTGTTGTCAAACTGCTCTAAGATCCATCATAAAGCCTCTTGTGGATTTACTGGATGCTGTGGAGCAAATCTGTGTCAGGAGCCCCCCCACCTCCCCTTCACACAGACTGACCTCCTTCGACCCGTCTCTATCCCTCGTCATCCTTTATCTCCCCGTTCATTTAGGATTTACCAGCTTTTAATCTCTGGCAATCTGATTCAACCTGCGTTTTCAGCGGGAGGTTTTCTGCTCGTCCCCTCGCTGGAGGATTGTTGTACTTTTTCCTTCCTTGCCCCTGAACTGTTTGTGTATAACAGGCAGTGCAGGGTCACCCTGTAGTGATCGTGGCTGCTTTAAAACCATTTAATTCAATAAAAAAAATCAATCTGGGTTTGAAAGGTTTATAAAATTTGTAACAGAATGAGGMTTACAAATTCTACTTGTCTAACCGTATTAGGCTACTCACACTGTTATMCATAATTTCTCCTAGGTTTTAATATCTTGCTGTTTGCATTCTGCTTCATCATTTAACGAGGAAGCTGTCGTGTCATTCCAGGAGAGGAAAATCCTCAATCTGACTGTGACGTAGTCCACCCACCAGAGTTTAAAGCTGTGTGGCCTGGTGGCCCATCTGTTAGGCTGGGGTGTTGGATCAGAGAAACAGACATGAGGTAAAGTCTGGTTTCTTGTTCAAATACTGCAAAATTACACACATCCATAGTTTCAGTTTGGAGACTTGTTTGTGAACTTGAAATATGAGTAAATTATGTAGTTCCTTTTTTTTTCCTCTTCAGTTCATTAAATGCTCTGCAATGTGCATCTTTAAGTTCTTCTGTTGATGGTTTTGAAATTAAATTATCAATTTAATGCACTGCTCTRATATTAGACTATTAAATGACAAAAAAATGTTTAAGTTTAAAATAATAAAATCTAAAAAACTTGAAGTGTAGCTCAAAACCCTTTCAAACTAATGTAAGAAAATCATCAGGAAACTAAATATATTAAAATGTAAGGGATGATTTAGAACTTTTGCACAACATCATGTTTTCAAAAAATAATATTAAACCTTGAAATAAAATAATTTGTGGCGTTTACAGTAATTTAATCCATCAAAATTATTCAGTCTAATTA